GTGTGGCCTATAAGCATGAAATGGAGCAGATGATACTGATTAGTGTGGTCTATAAGCATGAAATGGATTACATGAACTTATTTCCACATTTTATGGATAAGTGGGCCATCAACCTTATCTCTTTCACATAGAAAACCACCAAATAATAATATTTAATTTCTACATTTATTATATCATAATAACTTCTAACTTATGATTGTATTTGAAAAATATGTATTTATAATCTCTTTCATTTTTATTTAGTACTTGTCTTGTTTATTATTAAGATCATTCATTAATACAAAATTTAAATTGTATTATTCAAAGTTTTACATCCAATTATTAATACTTCTTAATGTATTAATAACTACCTTTAAATTTGAAATAATACTTCAATGTAACACTTGACTTTATTGTTAATTATTAAATCGACAAAGCTTCAAATGCAACATAATTAATTAATCTAATACATCTATTTGATCAATTGCTGGACAGAATTCATGGCACTTATAATATTCATATACATCTATTTGATCAATTAATTTGATTCATGTTGCTTCGCCGCACAAGGTAAATCAATTTCAGAATATTCAAGATCATCAAATTTCTGGTCTCGGTAACTTTTCACTAGAGCACTTTTTTGCAAATCGGTGAAATGTTTAAACTCTTTTTGGTCAAGTACACTATCAAACATCGGATTCTTGAAGAATTTAAAACAAAGATCAATGAAGGAAGGCTACTGACTACTAACTTGTATAATCCCTCAAGTAAAAAATATGGAAATTGATTTTCCAGTAATTGCAAGTCAACCTTTAAAGCAATTATTTCTGCTGGTATAACTAACCGAAAGTCACTTTCATCTTCCTCAAAATTTCTCAAGAGGAGCTCTATGATAAAAATAGCATCATGTAGAATCATCATTACATACTCATAACTTTGAAGCCTACAGGTCTTGCATAACAATTTCATATATCTTGCGCATAGTCTCTGATGAAGGCTAAAACTTGCTCACCTTTCTCACAAGTTGTTCATTTGAAAAACGCCCTTACATATCTCCCTTTTTGCTTTTCCATGTCTTTTAATTCTTTTTTACCATAGTGAAAAGGGTCAATTGAAATTACTTGAAGAGTGTAGGTTTCTTCGTTGACTTTACGAATGCGTTTAGGGACTTTATAAATACAACACTCAGGACCAAGATCCAAGTCTCCCTTAATGTTTATCATCCAGTCTTTGTACTCATCCTCATAGACCTCTCCCTTTATGAAAGAACTCATCTCCATGTTCATATTGTAGTACATCCTAGTTAATAACATAACAGACAGGCCCTATCGTTATGATTCTTTCATTTGTTTTAATAGGATAAAGGGTAAAACAGTAAGTATCCCTAAATTTGTATAGTTATTAAGGATTAAACTTAATACACTTAGACCCTTTGAAACTCCAAAAGTTATCATATCTTCTATATGAGTGTTTGGTTAAAGGAATGTTGTATTACTGAGAATGTTTAGAAAAATGTGTTTGGTTGGTTGGAATAAATTAGTAGGTATATTATATTAATATGTTTGGTTGTGAGGAATGAATTGGTGAGTATGTTATATAAATTACTCAATTGCCTTCATTTTTAAATATTAATATATTATTTTTTTAATATTTTTTTAACCCCCTACATTTAAGATTTAGCTAAAACACCCCAATAACCAAAAAAGTTTAAAGCTTAACAAAAACACCCCCACCCACCCCAAGCCATTGTCAACGACGACAGTGGAGATCTTGTCGTGAAATGGTCACATTCCGGCCATGTATCACAGATCCATGGCTGGAAATGACCTTACCAACGCACAACCGGCCAGATTTGCACCATTCCGTTGCCGCTAACGGTTGACGGTTGGTCGTGGTGACCAGATCTGGCCACCACCCTTGGGTAATTTTTTTAAAATCCAGGAGTATTGATATCCTAAAAAAACTGTATATAAGATAAAATAGTATATGAATATATTCGTAAATTAATTTCAAAATAAGGTATTTTTATTCAAAAAATTTATTAATAAGGGGTAAAATTAGAAAAAAAATAAGATTACAAGTAATCTTAAAATACATAAGAAAATAGAAGTAATAAGATTACCTCATATATTACTAAAAATAATTACCATTAGTTTTGAAAGATTACTAAAATTATATATTACTTGACACACATTATCTATGAATCTCTTGTTACTCCAACCAAACACACCTTATAATTAATAAAACTATTCTTTACCAATTAATAGTCCCCCTCTTCCCCCAACAACAACTACTCACCCCCATGTAACTTTCTCCCGTCCCATCAAACACATCCCGCCCATGCCCAGCAACCCATCACTCCTTGTTGCCGCCCAACAACCCCAAAAAGACATCATTCCTACCCACTTCACCACGCAAAAACAATCCCGCAACACTAAAATCCTCAGTTAACAATAAAAAATAGTCACACATTAATTCTTTTGGGCTTTTTTTTCAGAGAAAAAAAAAATTAAAAAAAAAAAAAGAAAGAATGGGTATTGAGATTGTGCACTGAGATCAATAGAGGATAAGGCAGCCGTGACAGATTGAGGAGGAAGCGAGCGAATAATACAAGTGAGCGGTGAATTTTTTAATGTAAAGAAATAAGGGTTTCATAATGTATAGAGACGTGGTTTTGACAGTAAATCGATAGTTTTAGGATTTTGTTAAAGTTGAATAAAGCATAATATAGTTTACAAAAAAAATTCAGTTTTATATTTATATCACATTTTCTTGTTAGGGATATTTTAGACTTTACATAAAAATTCTGATTCTCTGTTAGGCTGAAGGACTATTTCGCTGGTGAAAAATAAAAGTGTCCTGCATTGTTATTGGAGGCAGAACTCAGGTACGTCTGAGTATTTACCTCCTTCCATGCATGAGTTATATATATATATATATATGCACTGAAGATGAAGAGGAAACATGAGGAAACATTAATAAATTCCTGTGAGCTTTGGCAGTAGGACACTGGTGCTCTCGATACGGACCAAACAACATTAATCTTTTTTCCGGCAAAATTAACCAGGTTCTCATGCACTTGTTTCATTACTTAATTTTTTTTAATGATTTGTTCGAGTTATTTACTTTTATGTATTTTTAATTTGTACAGACCTCTTTGAGGCTAGTTAGGTGGCTGTTTTGGACTGTAAATCCGTGCCTTCCTCTTGTTTTTGTTTAGCTTGGTTGCTTGGGCTTGTCCAAGGAAAGGATCCTCTTCTTGGGGATTCATTATTTTATTCTTTATCTATTGCCTTTACCCAAATTATATATATACATGTTCACCTTCATAATGTGTTTCCCTTCTTATCCGCATATTCAATCATTAAAATAAAAAATAATTACAGACGATCAAACCACTGGGGTCATGTTCAGTTGGTTAAAAAGAAAAAAGATCCAAAAAATAAAATTAATTACTTCGGTGTTGTTGGCCATTCGCTGCTGACAATTGTATGTGGTGGCTATCTGACAACTTACTCCATATGTTTTTTATTTTTAATTTATATGATTAATATTAATCGTTTAATTATTATTATAATAACAGAAGAAATTATGGAAGCAAGCAAGATTAGCCCCCAAACCTTTTAATTACTTTAGCTGTATGCCTGTGAATTCACGTGGTCACTTGCTTCATGGATATTCTCTTAACGCACATGTTGCCTATTTAGCAATTTCTAATTTACAGATTAAAGAAAGAGTAAAGACTATATTTATGACTGACGTTAATTAATTAAGTGGTGATCCATCTACTGACAATGGGATATATATCATGATTCCTCCTTCAAATTGAATTTATTAAAGCAATCCTAAGCACAAGGTTCCTTTGGAGTATGCAGAGCTAGTTTGATCCATCTGCATTCTCAAAAAAGGAAGTAATCAAGATTAGCAGCCATAATTAAATAAGGGAACAATATATATGGAAAGAGTTACAGAAATCTGCCATTATATACAATGTAGAGTCCAGGTTGGCGATCCTTGTGATCTGCCACCTCAGCATAGACAAACACACTTTAGAGATAAAACATAAAATTACAAGAAGTAATCTAAACTTCAGCTACTAACTTGTTGAATGGAAGAACAAATGAGAAATCCCTGCTGTTGATTGAAAAATGTTTAATTCGTTTTTCTTCTTCTTGAAATTGAAAAGTTGCCGTTTTAGTCTTTATAACTAACGGACTTAATGACAGAAACCACCTTCTGTTAGTAGCTTTAGCGGCTCATTTTTTTTTCATTATAAAACGCTGCGTATTTGTGTTTTACCTTATAACTAAAAACAAACAGAATTTACTCTTCACTCTTCACACACACACACGCACACGCACTATACATATATATATTGTGACTTTTCGTAGTGTATTTATGTATTTGCTCCCTGGAATTGTAGAACTCATTTGTGTATTTATGTAGTGTGGGTGAATTTTTAGTTAAGTCCCCTGTAGGTTAGTCAAACTATATCAAACCTCACTGTTTTGAAAAATAATTTGCAGCAATTCTGCGGTTATTTAAGAAATAATATATATATATACTGTTTCTCTTGTGCACATATTTCAATCCAACAGTTTAAAAGAAAGATTATCCTTAAATGATCACTGGTTAGCTTAGACTAGATCATATATTTTATATGAATTATATTTTATTTAACTTTTATTATCAAATCAAAATATGTTATTCTTAAGATTAAGGCAGTTAGACCTACTGAAATTGGTTTAGCCTTGCAAAATTTTTGTTGGTGGATTAGAGAATGGCATTAGATTTAGCAATAGAAAACCTCTTCGATCTTCAGTTATTTTCTGACTTTCACAAAACGGATTTAATGAAATGATTGGTTTAATAACAAACCGACAAGATGATTATGATAAATGATTAAACACATAAATTCATATAAAATATAAATGATACATAAATAGCAAGACCTTATTATAAATTATTAAATAGACAAGCTTTCAAATGCAAAATAATTAATTAATCTAATACATGTATTTCTAATGCGTGACAGAAGACATGGTTTGTATAAAAGTGAGTAGCAAGATTAAAGCAGCTGCAACAGTTGCTGTACCTTTCCAGAGATCACCGAAATACACACTTTTCAATTTTGCAGAGGTATGGTTCCAAGGATTATCATAGTGTGCTTTCAGTTGCTGAGAAATATCATTGTAATAAACTCTATTAATAGTAATTTGTGTGCAAAGGTTATTAAACAAACTTACTATTGCCTTACTGTCGCCCATACGATTGGAAATAATTCCCTCCTTAACAAGTAAATCCAAATCGCTTTTGTCATCGATAAGAGAGTCTAGTAGTTCAACATAATCACAGACGGGAGTAACATATGGATAGTGACATTGCTCCAAAGCCATTAAATTCCGAAGTATAGTTTCTGTCATGTTGTCAACTGGTAATGGCGGTATTTTCAACTCGTGTCCATCAAATCTTATGTCAAATAAGCTTTCCACTTGATCAGCACTTTTGAATTTCACTCCTGATTCACGTAGCTTCGCGGCACTAGGTAAATCAACATCCCTATATGCCTTATCGAACTTCGGTAACCTGTGTTCTGGGTAGCTTTTCTGGGTAGCTTTTCACTAGAGCAGCTCTTAGCAAATCGGTGAAATGTTTGATCTCTATTTGGTGAGGTACACTATCAAACATCCGATCGGGACCGCGGAAGAAATGACAAGAAAGAAGAATGAAAGAAGGGCTACTGACAACTAACTTGTATAATCCCTCAAGTAAAAAAAATGGAAGTTGATTTTCCAGCATTTGCAAGTCCAAGAATAAAGAATCTACTTCTGCTAGTATATTTAAAAAAAAGTCACTTGCATCATCATCATCATAATCCCTCAAGAGGAGCTCTATGATAAAAAGAGCATCACCTAGAATCATCATTACATACTCATGACTGTCGAGCTTACAAGTCTCTGAATAACAATTTCGTATCTGTTGTTCATGATCTTTGATGAAGACAAAAACTTCCTCACGTTTATCACGGGTTGTTCGTTTGAAAAATTGTCTTACATATCCCCCTTTTTGCTTTTCCATGAATTCTAATTCTTTTTTACCATAGTGAAAAGTGCCTATTGAAACTACTTGAGGAGTGTAGGCTTCTTTGTTTACGTTACGAATACGTGTAGGGACTCTATAAATACAACACTGATCGGGATCAGGCTCCATCTCTCCCTTAATGTCAATTAGCCAATCTTTGTACTGATCCTCACGGAACTCTCCTTTAATGGAAGAACTCAACTCCATGTTCATATTGTAGTACATCCTAGTTAATAATATCACAGACAATGATAAAATTAAACCTTAAATATAGATCATTTTGTCTGTGATATTAATGTTAATTAGATTACATAAACATAGGCATATGAGGGCATTAAATTCATTTGTTTCATTTGGTTAAAACTAAACAGTGGTTTACAATAATTACTGGTACTTGAGAGGGCTTGGACATTTAGGAAAAAATTGGGGGGCTTTAAAATTAATTCCTATATATGCAAGTATATCACATCACTTTAAATTAAAAAATAAATTTGAAAAAACTCACCAAATTCTTAATTAATAATATAATTGTGCACAAAATGATCATAAAAGTATCATAAACGGCACTAATTACTATCATTAACTAAAGGGTATAATTGAAACCTCACTTTTACATTAACAATATTTTGAGGGCTAATCTCGGTTCAACCCCTCAACTTTAGATGAGGAAATAATTTTTACCGCAGCACTTAACAAAATTTTTAGGGTTTAACGACCAAAAAAGACAAAAAATTTCAAATAAAAGTTAACACTTCCATGCAAGAAATAACTTTTTTGATAATATATATACATGCTCATACTAATTATATACGGTAGTTAGGAAAGTAATAATATTCATTCAATTTCATATATAATTATTGATTTCTTCCAACCAAAGTTAGTTAAAATACATGAAAGGTAAATAACTCGAACAATTCATTAAGAAAATGAAAGAAGTGCATGAGTACCTTGGTAATTTTGCCGGAAAAAAAGATATAATTGTCTGATTGGTATTAAGAGCACCAATGTCCAACGTCCCACAGCCGAAGCCCGAAGGAATGTATTAATGTCTTTGGTATCACTCTAGCTAGTCGCTCCCTCTCTCTTTGCAATGTGATTTCCTCTTCATCTTCAGTGTGCGCATATATATAATGTTTACCTTGATCATGTGCTTCCTTCTTATGCGCATAATCAATCATTAATATAAAATAAATTGCAATCAATTCAACCACTGGGGTCATATTGAAACCATAATTGCAATATTAAATATATTTTCCCAGTAATTTGATAAAATGAGTGTACTTTAATTCAGTGACCACCGTGCCCATTCATCAGTGCCAGCAGCGGAGTTGTTGGAAATTCTTTGCTGACGATTTGGTCAGCCAAAGTTATTAATTTTTTGGTGGGAGCAAGCAAGAATAGCGGCCAAAGGTAGGAACGGCTTAATTACATCGATATGAACAAAGGCCTTTAGCTGTATGCCTGTGAATTCACGTGGTAACGTGCTTCAATATTCTCTTAAAGCAAATTGTGCCTATTTAACAATTTCTAATTAACAGATTAAAGAAAGACTATAGTTATGACTGACGTTAATAATTAATTAAGTGGGGTTATTACTTAATAATAGAATATGTTTAATTATAAAGAGTATGTTAAAATATTAATGGGATAAAATTTGGCCCCCACATTAATCCATCTAGTGACAATGGGATTTATAAATGCTCGTTGTTGTATATATAACAAGATTCCTACTTACTTAATCTTTCCCTCCTCTAAAAGGAAGTAATCAAGATTAGCCGCCATAATTAAATAAGGGTACAATTAAATATAGGACTCCAGTTTTGTAGCTATATATATTTGTCTTCTCCCTATTCCCATGATGTCTATTTAATTAACAATTGTTCACTTAAGATTTAAAAAATATTATTTTTAAGACCAAGTGTAAAATATGTTTAATTAACAAGGCTATGTTAAAATGCCAGGTAATAGGGTGGTGTGTGCACCAACATTTAGAATTAATATTTTTCTAATAATTATGTAATTTTTTTATATGAATTATCTTTTACTTTATATCATCAAATTAAAATATGTTATATGTTAAGATTAAGGCTCACTGCCTCCTGAAATTGGTTTGGCCTTGCAAAATTTTTGTTGATGGATTAGAGAATTGTATTAGATTTAGCAATAATAGAAACCTCTTTGATCTTCAATTTTTTTCTCTAACTAACTCAAAAGTTAATAGTTTTTCTTATCCAATTAAGATTGATTTAACAATTAAAAACAGATTTAATGAAATGATTGAATTAGCCGAAGAGATGATTATGGTAAATGATTGAACACATAAACATACATAAAAAGTGAATAATATATAAATAGCAATAATTTATTATAAATTATTAAATTGACAAGCTTTCAAATACAAAATAATTAATTAATCTAATACATCTATTTCTAATGCGTGACAGAAGACATGATTAAAGCAGCTGCAACAGTTGCTATACTTGTCCGGAGATCACTGAAATACACACTTTTCAATTTTCTCTTCAAAGGCCACAGGAATGTATTAATTAATACTACAGTATCTCTCGAGTCGCTCCCTTACTCTTTGCAATGTGGTTTTCTCTTCATCTTTAGGGTATATTTACATATACATGCTTTCCTTCATAATGTTCTTCCTTTCTTATTTGCATGATCAATCATTCAAATAAAATTAATTTCAGTCAAATAATCAACCACTATAATGTATGATCAAAACATAAAATCGTTGTCTTCTCTGCCTATTCATCAAGTGCCACTGTGCCAGCAATGGGTATTGTTGGACATTTGTTGCTAACGACAAGGGCGTAGTAAAAATCTCATTCTAGGAGGGTCAAGACGTTAATTAAACTTAATAATACCATTGCAAATAAACTTATAATAAATAATATATCGGGTATAAGTTATACAAAAATATGAGTATTTATTTATAATATTCTTTATAATTAATATATTTATAATTGTGTTTGACGATATTGAATAAATTTATAATACTTTAACGAGTGTAAAACAAAATCAAGAAAATTTACTAATAAACAAGTTATTAAGCAAACACAAATAACAACATCTCCAAATTGAACTATAATAAAATTTATACTAATAAAATATTCAAAGATTTATCTAGCTTTTATTGTAAAATATTATAATTTTTGTTGTAATTTCACTTTTATGTTTATACCCTTTAAAATAATGTATCAAAATACATATTTTTTATATTTATCTTTTTTTTCTAACTTTAATATTTTGATATAATCCATCTATGGGTAGTCTAGATGGTTAGAATGAATATGAGATAGTTGGATAGGCACACGGTCTCAAGTTTAATTCTCTATTTGAGTATTTGCAATATAAGTAAAGGGCTATGACCTTGGACCTTTTTTTTTTTTTTTTTTCTTGTAAAAACTAATAATTTAATTTGACTTATTTAATGAATTTAAAAGTTAATCCCCTCTCCCTCCGCCCCTGGGGCCCGACGATATTCCATTACTTTATTTATTTATTTTTAATTTATTAATCATTTAATTATTACTATATTAACAGAAAAATTTTGGAAGCTATCAAGATTAGCAGCCAAAGTCAGGAAACTTTTCCTACAAAGATTAGCTGTATGCCTGTGAATTCACGTGGCGAGGTGCTTCAATATTCTCTTAAAGGAAATGTTGCCTATTTAACAATTTCTAACTAACAGATTAAAGAAAGACTTTTTAATAATTAATTAAGTGGGGTTATTACTTAATAATAGAATATGTTTAATTAAAAAGAGTACGTTTAAACGACACATGCATCCATGACTCAAATAGATGACGAATCTGATCTGAAAGAGTATGATAAAATGACACATCAATGACTCAAATAGATGACGAATCTCATCTGAGATCAATTATAATAAAATTGTTTACAGTTATGGATCACACTCCCATTAGCAACCCCTTTTATCATTATAATTTCTTTTTGCTATTTTTTAAGATCTATATTCTTTCAGTTTATACTAAGTTGAGAGTATTAGTCTATTAGACAATGTTTGATCACTCGTGGAAATGAATGAGAATTAGAACTAGAACGGGATAATGAATCTCATTAATATTGGATTATAATATATTTCAACCTAAAAGGTAGAAAAGCAAGATTAAAGTTACCCACTATTGTCATGTTATAATGTTAAAATGAAATCGATAAAATAAAGAGATGTGAGAATAGTGGGGTGTTTGTCTAAGCTTATATAAGCTTTAAAATTAAGCTGACATATTTGTTTATAATTTTTTTGAGCTTATAAGCCCAGAAAAAAAAAAAAAAAAAAACTGTTTTTTTGGGGTTTATAAGCTAGTTGGACAAAATATATTACCACATTATCCTTATTTAATTTTAAAATTCCATAGTATATCATTGTTTAATGTAGTATCATTTTTAGTTATTTTATAATAAAATATACTTATAAGCCATATTTTACCAAACACGTCAACTACTTATCAATTATTTATAAGTACTTTAATCAAACACGTAATTGTTTAAAATTTTAAATGCTTATAAACTAATTTTCATAAGTTCAGACAAACACCCCTTAGAACGGAAATGAGTAATAAAATAAGATTCTATTATTATGTCACGATATGAAATCTTTAATATATAAAAAAGAAATATATTAATTACCAAATAGTTAGGTGGAATTGTCTTCTAATTATAAAATATTAATGGAATAAAATTCGGCCCCCACATTAATCTATCTAGTGACAATGGGATTTTGTAAACGCTCGTTGTTGTGTATATGACAAGATTCCTATTTAATCTCCATCCTCTAAAAGGAATTAGCCACCATAATTAAATAAGGGTACAATTAAATATAGGAATCCCATTTCGTAACTGTACATATATATTTATGTTGCGATGTTCTTCCTCTTCTCCTTATTCCCATGATGTCTATTTAATTAATAATTTTAACCCAAGATTTAAAAAAATATTATTTTTGAGACCACCTATAAAATATGTTTAATTAACAAGAGTATGTTAAAATGCCAGGTAATATAGGGTGGTGTCACGAACATTTAGCATTAATTTTTTTTAATAATTATATATATATATTATACGAATTCTCTTTTATTTTATATTATCAAATTAAAACATGTTATATGTTAAGATTAAGGCAGCAAGACCTAGTGAAATTGGTTTAGCCTTGCAAAATTTTTGTTGGTGGATTA